TCTTAGCAAAAACCAAGGTGGCATACCAAGGCGAAGATAAGAAAATACCTAACAAACTCGCCATAGACTTCTTCATAAAAGGCTTGCGACCCGATATTCGTAGGGCCGTCCGAAGACTTCCCGACCCGCCAGATTTTGAAACCGCGCTCGCTAATGCAGAAAAGGAGCAACGAATTCTAGAGCAAGAGTATCGCGAAGAAAAAGAAATTCTAGAAAGCATCAACTCGCTTGTACTCGATCAAAAAGTAGAAGAGTTAACCGAACAAGTTAACAGCCTTCAACAAGTAAATCGCAATCGGCCCAAGAGCCCCGCACAAGAACGTCCACGCGCTATAGTACGATTTCAATCCAATGCGCGCCCGAATCAAAACTATCGGCAGCGATCAGCAACGCCATTCCGCCCGCGAACCCAGATAAATCCTCCGCGCCAACTACGTTTTGTGCCTAGAAGAATATTTCCAAACCCACGCTTTTGGAGCCGCCGCCCTCGCAATGTTCCTTTCCGCTTCTTCAATCAGCCCTATGTTCCGTACCCGCCTTACGCTCAGCCAATACCTTATGTTGCTCCTAATCAAGCTGCAGGACCAGCTATAGCGAACGCTCCGCAATACTATCAAACGTCAAGCAGATTCCCTTCAACAGCGCAAAATGTCAACTTTCTGTGCATATTAGCAATTATAGCTGCATGCCTAATCAACCCAATAGTAGCTTTCCAAATCTGTGGTAGTAGTTCCTTTCCTAACGTGCTCTCACTACCAAAACAAGTGCAGTGCACAGCAACGACGGAAGAGCCTATGATCGAAACAAATATACAACTATTCGGCGAAACTAGCAAACCTTTGCAGCTAACGGCGCATAAATGTTACAGAGATGTAATTAAAGTCTCCGTACATAACTTCCTCTATATAAGAACCAGGCGCACCGTAATAGGCCGCCAACGCATATCAATTTCAAAAGAAGATTGCGAGCTAGCCAAAACAACCAACACTATTCACGGGCATCCTCTAGTTGAAGTTTCACCTGGACTAAAGATAACCAGAGAGATAGAGGATGAAAATTCATCGCTCCCTCTCTGGGGCACGAACTTGTATTTGCGCAGCCTGTATTCCATTGAAGAAGGCCAGATAGCTTCATTTAACGGCGAAACCATGCTTAGCACTTTAGGAAATCTAAACAACTGTACTATTTCCGATGGCGTTTGCCTCACACCCAACGAAGTTATTATCTGGGAACCCATAGAAGTTGTACCGTGGTGCAGATACACTTCTATAGGCAACTTCGACGCGCTAGTAAGCATGAAATTTATCCTCATACTCGAACACGAGTTAGCATTCGAGTTCAGCAACGATCATTTGCTTCGCACGCAGTTACTAAGACATTGCAGCATAACTAATAGCTACTTGACCACATCCAATCATCTTATCTCCTTCCCAAATATACCACCAAATACAATGGTGCAAGACTTCATTTTGGAAACCTCTTACAATTTCAAAAGAAAGCGCGAAGTGAAATATCTTACTGATGCCGAGAACAGACAGTCTCGATACGAACTAGTACCCGCGCAAACCCTACCAATAGCTCGAAGGATTTTCGGCAGTGATATTCAAAGCTTACCAGCTTTTGAAACTCAACCCATCACGCACATCCTCCTGCTAAGAGAAATCAAACTCTGGAACATCACTAACGCGGACTTCCTTCGCAGAAGTCGTATGTATCTATTCGAAGACATACGTACGAATGTTCTTCGTACCATTCGCTATGCCGAATATCGCTATCGCCAGATTTCTTGGCTTCGATCCATCGAAACAAAGAGACCTTTGAACTACGCCGAGACCGCACTCCTTCAAGACCTCGAACATGGCATAACAGACGTTTTCGACGAATATCTTTCCAAAGAATTCGGCACAATTGGAATGGATATCGATCAGGATCCTGCAAGGCTGAAAGCTAAACCAGCACCATTCTTCCAACCAGAAGATCTGAAGAAAGTGAATGTCACTAACCAGATAGAAGCTGATCCCTATGCGCAGGCAGAACGAGAACGAGAACGCCTCAAAAGCAGTACATCAACCAGCACTGCATTACCTCCGAAGGTAACAACTACGGCGCCTACTACTACTTCCACGACTGCGTCCACAACTCTCAAAGCCACCCAACCAACAGCTAAATATACAACAACCACTTCGTCCGCCATAACGATGCCATTCGTCACTCGTCCACCTGTGGTCATACCACCGTATGTCCATATAATCCCGGAGAGCAAATCACTCAATCCGATAAGTCCATTTACTACAAGCCAGAGGACAACGATCGCCTCTACTCCCACGACAACGACAACCAGTACAACCAAAATGTCTACGACTCAGTCACGTCCGACAACCACTACCAAGGCAACTACTACGACTGCCACATCCACAAGGCCTCCCGTCAAGAGGACGACGACCAGTATCATTCAAACGATTACTCCAAGGATACCAACAACGACGTCACCATCCAGCACTACTCCTATCAAAGCTGTTTTGACTTTCGAGAAACTAATCCCACTGCCTCCATCCGAATATCATAATCCACCTCTACATAGACAGTTCAAACGGACAAACTCCGCCTCTTCAAACTCAGCCGATTATCAGCTCAGTTCAGTCAACATCCGCCGTGAATTTAACAACATATGCGTAAGACAGTTCCTGAATAACCAAAGACTTCACGAGCTCAGCCGCGCTGACCCTACCTGGGCAGCAAGAATCCTATTGGGAACTTCAGACGTCGTGGCTACATTGACCGATGACGAACTTCTAGTTTCAAGATGCAGGAAGGTAGAACCAACCGAAGTGTATTCCAATCACCAGGTCAACCAAACGTGTTACGATCTACTACCGGTCCTGGTGGAAGACCAATTATGGTTTGCAGTCCCTGGAACGGGAGACTTGGTTCAATCGTCTACCGAAATCCCTTGCCCTTACATAACCAATGTGAACGGACAAGTTCAACCGATGTTGCCTCCGAATGTACTTCTAAGCGACAACGTGCAACCATTCCTCTTCAAATCACCGCCTATCTACCATCATATAATGCAAAACTACGCGCCTACTATTCGACACCAAATTGACGCACTGCAGCACGAATATGCAGCCATGCAAAACCGTCTGCAAAGACGAGGAATCTTGGACGACACACTTCTCAAAATCAAGGACGTTAAGAACTCTATAGGAGAATCGCTCTCTTCAATCTACGACAAAACTACAACTAAGCTCACAGATGGCATAGAAAACATAAGATGGTCCCTCATCTCCTTGTTACTGTGGATAACTATACCAGCGCTAGCAGGCATCATTCTAGTCGCCATATGCATCTGTTGCGTGAAACTGTACTTCATACGAACAGCTTCCAACACGGCAGCTTCAGCCATGTTTGAGATGGCAAGTAATCTCTCAAAAAGAAGACGCGTCAGAACTCAACCAGCAGTCAATTCTCTATTGATAGAGCTACCTCCTCAAGAACCTCTCTTCGTCCCTCGCATTTACGCAATACCCTTCGCGACTAATCATGTTCAAAATCCTTTACCGTATGTTAGGATAGCACTAAATCAATTTTCTACGCCAGCCCTAGTTGATAGCGGAGCCACCATTTCTTATATGAGACAGTCCACTCTCTACGCGCTTGGACCACATTTGAAAATCGATGAGCACCATGTTAAAGCGCAAGCAGCTAATGGATCTCATATAGCGCTCTCAGCGTCAGTAACCGTTAACGTAAATATAGGAACTCATACAATTCCTCATCGCTTCCTCGTATCGCAAGACAATCAATGTCCCGCACCAGTTTTGCTTGGCACAGACTTTATCAAAAAATTAAACCAGCTGGGACTAAAAGTGACTATCGATCTGCACAACAACCTGCTCACGATAGGCAGCGACGCTCACAATATGATTCAAATCAATGCCATCAACTTCCTAGAAGTCAAACCGTATGATGTGCGCCTTTTGCACACCACGATTCTACCAAAAAGGTCCTCGTCGATAGTTCCAGCTTTAATCGACAACCACTCCGCCGATAACCCCTTCGACTTCCTCATCGAAGACAATCAAAGGGACATAGATCTCTTATACGTCGTGGGTCGTTCCTTAGTACACCCTTCCAACGACGGGATATGTCTAATAAACATACTGAATCCCTCCTGCACGGATATCAGATTATATGAACGAATGAGAGTAGCTTTCGCTACTCCTGTTTCTTCTCCAATGGAACAAATACTTGCTGTTCAAAGCGAATACATTCCTCCGGAAGCTAACTGGGAAGAAAGGATACCACATTTTCCGATTCAGCCAGCCATCGGTTACGATATTGCCAAGGAGATAGATCTAACTAAATCTGCACTAACGACTAACCAGAAGGAGCAATTGATAACTATCATTCGCCACCACGCTCAAGCATTCGTCGGACCCGACGGACATTTGGGTCACTATAATGGACCAATTCGTCACCGTATAGACCTCGTCGACAACGCTCCTATTCCTACCAGAAAGATCTACCGTGTCCCACTCGAAAAAAGAACCGAAATTGAGCAACAAATCACTCAGATGCTCAAAGATGGAATAATCCGCGAATCCGCATCTCCCTTTTGCGCTCCCATAGTTCTGGTACGTAAAAGAGACGCAAACTCATGGAGATTCACGATCGACTTCCGAGGCTTAAACGCAATAACGAAGCCACAGCAGTCTATACTCCCTAATATCCAAGATATTATCGATCTATGCGCCAACAATTGTCTGTACTCATCCCTTGATTTCCAACAAGGCTTCCATCAGATTCCGCTGGAAGAGTCTCACTGCGAAAGAACTGCAT